CCAGGGAATGCCAACCCCAGATGACTCGTTCAAGTCGCCGCCTCCTCCCGCCAACATTGCTTGCCGGCGAAACATTGCGCGACCAGCAAATCTTCAGACTGCCTCGCTGAGGAGCCGCTCGTACAACCTTCCTTACGGGTCCAAGACTGTAATAGACGGATCGAAGCGAGTAGATCCTTCGAGCCCCGGCTTGCCAATGCGAAGGATTGTCTCAACTGCTGGAAGTATGCATGGTCGTATTCAAAAGTCGAGTCCGGGGCCTCGGTCGCCCATGTTTTACAACCGCAACCCCGAGACATTGCTACAATGGCATGCTCGCTCACCCGTAGGACAGATCGCCGCAGCGTTCCCAGGAACCGCTCCTCCAACGCCCCTGACGCCTGCCGTCGTCGATCAGTCAAGTATTGTGTCACCTACATGTTCTGACGAAAGCCCGTTCCTGCTTAACGGGAGCCTACCCGCTACTACTGTGTCGGAGTCTAAGAGCGATCCCAACCTGAAGACACCCCCGACCACGCCCGGTTTACTGACCCCCTTCGGCAATCAGAACTTCGCCGCCAACTCATTCAACACGGGAGCCGACTTCCACGCTGACCATCCAGTGTGGACTCCGTTTCAAGCAGAGTTCCCGGGCTTCAACATGCATCATGTACCGAGCTACACCGAGGCGAACGACGGAAGTCTACCTACGACGCCCCTCTATCCCAACCCGACCAATGCCGCCTTCGTACGCGCGGGCATGATGCCCAATATGATTGGGGCCTTGATGGGGAATATGGGAAATACGCAGTTTGACTGGGATGCCAACGAGTCGGTTAACTCGACCAAGTCGTCGCCCAACCAGCCCAGGTCCAAGCAGATCCAGTTTACGCAGAACATGACGCCCCAAGACTACAACAGTCACCAGGATAAATAAGTCGTTGTTGTCGTCTGCTACGCGTAAACCGACCTTGTTATTCTGCAGGGCCTCTTGTATCAATATTCCTTCTGTCATCTGCCGTCGCTTGTACCAACATATTCCCATTCACCATAAAAGAGCCGAGGACTCTAACCGACGAAATCGCACTTTTTTTTTTTTTTTTTTTTTTTTTTTGAAAAAAAAAAAAAAAAAAACGATATACTGGATTTAATATGTCTTATATAATATAATGGCCACGAATTAATGGGTTGGGTTTGGGCAAAACAAAAAACTAATTGATACCCCTGGGGGAGGATTGAGAAAGAGCTGGCCGGGCCGGGTGGATTATTGTCTGGTTAGGAGGAAAAGGGTGTCATATTAAGCGAGGAGAATCTGGTTTCTGTGGGTGGTTGTTGTTGTTGTTGTTGTTGACTCTTTGGTTTTGATTGATTCCCCCACAAAAGAGACAGGTTCCTCGTACTTGTCTCTTAATAACCTTACTACCTACCAATACCCCCGAAGGAGTTGAAATCGGAATCTTACTGCAGGGCGTTTCGGCATTTGCAATGATGGATGTATCAAGAGAAGATTCATGATGTGTTGGGCTTTTTTTTTTTTTTTTTTTTTTTCTAAATTCCTAAATAGGAAAAGACGGGTAGATATATACTTTTATTTTGGGCTTGTCATGTCATCTATAAGGAGTGGAAAACAGCGATTTTTATTATTATTGTAAGAAGGCCTAACCTATCTAATAGCTCCTAATGATGGTCAGGAAGGGGGACTTCAGGTGTATGATGGGTGGCGGAGAATGGAGACTGTGGGATGGCATATTTCGAAGTGCGAATACAAAGCTTAAGATGGCGGTTGTACCTCCTCCTCGACGTTACTAGATTGCGTGTCTGTGAGTGTGTCAAAAACAACTATAATATGGGATTGCGTGAATTTTCAACTTTGTTTCAATTCATCCGAAGCTTAGGTACCTTAGGTAGGAGTCTGTAGCGTCAAGTTGCCAGCGCCCCAAGTTGAATCTCAACCCCCCAAAAAGACGAAAGGAGGTTGGAAGAGAAATACATAATAACGACGCCATTGGTCCCGCCGCAGTGGTAACTTTTTCTCTAGGCCTCCCGTTGGTCGTACCAGATTTGGCAAGATACATTAAGACATACGTACCGCCTTGCCCGCCCGCCGGCACCTAACCCAAATGGCTGCTTTGGAGGAGGGTAGAGATGTGCCGAACTTACATGGGGATGCCATCACACTTTGTGGTTTGCCGATCATTGCCCGCTTTCGATACCGGCTTGCTCGATTGCAACCCTTTTCTGGACGTCCTCGCATCTAACTGCCGGGGAATCCCGCTCTTCTTGGCGGCACAGACAGAAAGCGGGTTGGGAAGAAAAAAACAAAAAAGGAATAGAAATATGAGCACGCTAATTTAGGCGGCTCGGGTGCCCCGTGCTAAGGTACATCCCAAAAGGTATGGTAGTAGTCCGGGTCCCCGGGCACCGTGCAACTCGAACCCCGAGAGAGATGACGAGATATTTTGGACTTGGACGCCGGGCGGGGAGGGGGGCTGCGATGAAAACGAACGATGCCCTTTTTTCGTATCGCGTCGATTACCCATCTTACATGGCAGCTACCCAAGAACGATGCAGACCAAAAAAAGATACGGTGACATTCATTTCTCACCTTCTGATTAAACCCACATGCACATGTCACTCTTCGGGCTAAAGGGAGAAATGCTAACGAAGGCAAGTTTCTTATTTCGGCTCATTACCAAGCAAGGCTTGGCTCCTTTAGTCACCGCCCCGTATTTAGGTCTGCCTATTCCAGACTTGCAACGATTTTCTTCGACTAGGGGACGTACATCGTACATCGTACGTGCCTACATGCATCCAAGCAAAGTGGTCATTGGTGCTTGTCTTTACCAATGCAGACTGCTTGCTCGAATCACACCGCATCGCGCTGGATCTTGTCTCTCGTGCGTCTTCATCAGATGGTCGACTTTCTCAATTGAGGTTAGATATGCTTCTTAGCTCTCGTGGCCTTCTCGTCGATCAATCGACGTCTGTTCGCGCCGTGTCGTTGCAGACTCTTATCGAAGTCAGTTGTTTCCACCGGTCACCCGCTGTATGATGGTGTTGTGGTTGCAGAATTGGGAAGAAGTACCGTAGCGCGAAGCCGTTTCAATGCCGCCACAAGCGCGCCTTGTGCCCACCATCTCGGCGACAATATTGGTCATGTACTGGAACGGTATCTATCTCGAGAGGCTAGAGGAGGGCGCTTCGCTGGCAAGGAGAGTGTTACTGTCAGATCGGAAACTACACACCATTTTCCTAGTTGGGACGGGGTTCGGACGGGGCTTTGCGGTTCGAAATTCAATAGATCGTATCATCTAGGACTTTTTCTGCTGCTCTCTCTGAGAAGAGTGACCCCAGACTTCGTTCTGGAGAAACTTTCAGCGACGCTAGCGACAGGAATGTCCATGATGATGATGACTTGATAGGAACTGGTTCGATTTGGGAAGAAGGAAATCCGCTTACTCACTTGATAAGAGACCGGGATTCCTCTTCAGGGTCTTTGTGTCACATGGGATGTGACTGACGACGACCTTAGTCAACGACAGGGACGAAAGGACCCTTTGTACCTAAACCTTAGGTAACCATCAGACTCAGCTGATTTTCACTAGGTCCCTGAGCCCTAGTTACCCCGGGTCAAGAAGTAGGTCGAGGCCAAGCCGTTTCCAGATCTACCTAAATAGGTAAGCAGCGATGCTGACATACAGACTAGGCTCGGTGAGCCACATACATCGATACAATACATCTGACGCCGAACGCAAGGGTTCTGCACCCCTGAATAGCCTCACGTCATTGCGCCTTGAGTCCTTGAGGTCATCTTATTCCCTTTCCTTTCCGCCGCGACTTCGCGGTACTTGACGAGAGATACGACGGATGTCCGCAACGGCTTTCTCTTTTGCTTATGCAGGGCCCCTTGGGGCATTTGGAAGCGGCTATGGTATCCTACTCAACATCAAACGAAAGAAACAAGCTCACGTCAGCTTCGTTCGTTTATTCCGTCCTGGGGGTAAGTTGCGGCTCCGCCGTAGCTTATTATTGAGCTTAACTACCACCCACTTTTCTCCTTCTCTCTAGAGCGCTAGAAAATAAGTGATGGCACCATTTTCAAAGTAACCTTACCTAAACTTAACTCGCAAACTACACCACTCGAAGCCCCTTGAACGAGACGATGTCATCACAACCCGGTCTTCGCCTTCGTAAGTTTTTTTTTTTTTGCTACATGACACTAACACACAAAAAGAGACGATCCTAGTCGTCGTGTACACCTTGTATCTTGCTTGTATCTTCTTCAACCGAGCTCCAGCTAACCCATTGGCCGCCGTCACGCGCGCCACCCCCCTCGCAGCCGTCACAGGTGCCTTCGCCCTGCCGTCCGCGGGCTACTTCGTCTTCCTGTCGCTGCGCGTCAGCCTGACGCGGATCGCGACGCGAGTCGCACTGGGCGACACAGTGCCGCCGACCAAGAAGGACTTCCCGTCGTCGCCTACTACTACTACCCCTAGCACCAGCCCCGGCCCCGGCCCCGGCCCCAACCCCAGCTACTACGACCCCCTGCAGCTGGCGACGCGCGCGCACCAGAACTACGCGGAGAACGTGCCCCTGGCCCTGGTGCTCGCCGCCGCCGCCGAGCTGAACGGGGCGGGGCCGGAGCGGCTGACGGCGGCGCTGGCCGTGCTGCTCGGGTTGCGGGTCTTGCACGCCGAGTTCGGACTTAGCCGGCCCGATGCTTTGGGGTTTGGAAGGCCCGTTGGGTATTATGGTACCATGGCGGTTATAGGGTGGCTGGCGGGGTGGTCGGCTTGGTTGGTATATTGGGGGTGATGGCTGTTGGTGATGTGCGCTGTTAGAGGTGCGTAGGGTGGGAGGGTGAGTAGGGACTTCGGGAGCAATGCCTTGTGATACCGGGGCGGAGCGGGGCTCAAGGATTGAATGCTCAACCTTAGACCTACAAATAGAACTAGGTATGGTATTTAAGGTCTACTCTACCGGGCAAGAAATAATCCTCCAATTATGGACGATTTGGATAGAGCGCTATCGTCTAGTGGCAGGACAACACGTTGTGGTTGATAGCAATATCCGTGTAAACGATGGTTCGATCCCGTCTGGCGCTAAACTCTTGATATTCTTTTTTTTTTTTTTTTTACTTTCATATCCTTCTTTAATCAACTTTTCTCTATGTACTAGGTATATACCTACTTAAAAAGAGGGTATTTTCATCCTCCGTACTCACCCCAACCCTTATATTTTTCTTTACGAAAGAGAGAAGCCGGATCTTCCAAGCCAATCCACCAGTCCAGCATTATGTCACGGCAGCGAACCCGCAACTTGTATTAAAAATTAAAATAAATAAATGTTCCGCCACCGGCTGCCCCTGGCTACTGCCCGCCTCCCTTGCACCAGCACAGGCCCAGCGGCTAGCTCGTCACGGCCTCGTCGTAGACGGCGCCGACGTTGTGGCGGTCCTGGAACACGTTCGTCGACGAGTCGCACAGCGCGAGACCACGCCGAGAGAGAACGCATCGTCGTGCACGCCGCGTCCCCTCCCGCTAGCCCGCTGTTGCAGTATACTTCGTTGGTTACTGTCGTTTTTTGTTAGGGGCAGCCGTATTTGGCGACGGCGCTGAAGTTTGCCGCGGTGGTGGCTGATAGGATATGCGGAGGGCGAGGCGCTTCAACCCCTATACTCGTGTCGTATTTGCTCTCCGCCACCTATCGTACATCGCCCTCGAGATGTATTTGCGAAGTGAGCTATCTCAAAAGAGCATCTGGGTCGTGTATAAAGCGTATGCTTCCAGAGTATACGATTGCACCCCTCAGTTATGATTCACAGATACGATACGAGCTGAAAGATTCCTTCCTGTAAGCTTAAACGGTCTTATAGAGCCTTGTATGTGCGAACTCTAAATAGCCTAATGATGTTGCGGTGATATCTCTCCAAGCCACGATATATTGAATCAGTCGCATTTCGGCCGCAGTGACCAATAATGTACAACCGGAAACGCGGCCACCACAAACCCCTATACTGTGACCCGTCGATTCTACCGAAGACGAGACGATAATCGGACGCTTTATTATTTAATGATAAATTCCCCAAATTACGGTTCTTATTTTAACTCCTGGATCGTTCATATTTGCATTTTGAAGTACTTAACCGCCTAGCATTTACAATAAGCGAGAACGCCCTCTTTACCTACCCTTTAAACTCCGGCTGCCATGCCCTATCAAATAGAATACATCCAGTTATCCTATCTCGTATCTCATATACATAGTACCCGACCCGCAAAACCTCAAGGCTAATCCATCATGACACCGGAGTCCCAACCATAATCCCCGTGTTCCGTATGATCTGGACGCCGGCACCCCCTTTACACCAGCACGAGCCGGGCGTCTGGTTGTTGATACCGGACTCGTTGAAGACGCAGCCGATGTCGTCGCGGTCCCCGTTGCTGTTTAGCGAGTCGCACAGCTGCAGACACTCCTCGAAGGAGCCCAGGACCGTGTTCACGGTGGGGTCGCCGGTCAGGTCGGTGTCGCAGTAGATCTTGTACGTCAGCTTGGCTTCCGTCATGGAGCTGTCGTTTCTGCCGGGACAGCCGGACACTGCGATGGCCCCTGCTGTAATGGCTGAGACGGCGAGTGATGTGCTGGTGCTGCTGCTGCTGGTGCTGCTGCTGCTGCTGCTGCTGCTGGCCGCCTCACTAGTTAAAGACGAGAGGGTCGAGGTCGTTACGACGCTCATGGTTACGCCCACGGGCACGTTATCTGCGGAGGTGCCTAGATGAGGTATCAGAGCCACGCAATATACCAGGCAGATGATTTGCTATCTGACTTGTGTTCCTGTTGCTACTGTTCCTCGCTTCTACGCCTAAGCCCGCGCCTAAGCCTATCACTAGCGCGATCACGACGCATAGAGCTATCAGCAAGAAGAACGTAGTTCTCCTGAAGCCGGCTATTCGCGGTGCATCCGCATGCTTCTCATTAGGCACGCTACTTTCCGCCGGAGCTGGCATCAGCCACTGTGGTTTCGCGTTTTGGTCCCATTGGAACTGCTGTGAGTAAAGGGCCTCCGGGGCGACGGGGTTGGGGTTGGGAACGGCCTCGAGTCCGGTGCCGGGCAAAACTTGTTTTGTCGAATACATTATATTAGGTGATATTCTCCGGTGAACATAGTAGCACACAGGTTAGGCAGCAAAGCCACGGGGAGTTTCCTGCGTTTATAATGACTTGGATGCGCCACGGGCGCTTAACCCCTTGATTTTCGACCCATGGTACATGGTACAGCCTTACCATGCGCCGCCTCCATGCTTTGGATCAACTGCGGGCGTGTCCTTGGGGACGTCATGATTGGGAGACGGGGCCAGGTGAAACGCTTATAAGACTATTCTTGATGTTCATTTGGAAGGCGTGTTTGATCCTACGAGAGGTTGTAGTGCAGATGAAGCATGAAGCCCTAGTCCCGAAGCTGAAGGTGAGTGAACTGCTTAGGTTAGTAACGTTGTTGAAGTTTGAAGTGTGCTGACTAAGGTACTCAGGTACGTACCCGCCAGCTGCAGACAGCCCGATCTCGGAACGTTGCAACTGCATAGCGGATAACGGATAACGGATAACGGTATCCTTCCCCGGGTCCCCATGGTATCCCGGACGGTGATCACAGCTACATATCTCATATCTCGGGCATTGCAACCAATCGTTATCTAGGAACACAGATGCTGCATATCCTTACACCGTGCATCGTTACCCCTCGATTCTACCGATTCTACCGAAGACGGAACGACAATCGAAGATCGTTTGTTGAGTGCCCTCCAACTTCTCATTCTCTCTCCTCCTCTAATCTTAATTGCTCATGTTTTCGACACGATACAATGAGCGAGCCAAAGGAGAAAGACAACTGTTCGGCTTCTTGCTGTGCGGCAACCCAACCCCCGCCCCAGGTAGAAGACAACTGTGGTGATGCAGGCTGTTGCGGCACCGACGACATTCTAGAGAGCAAATCCGGCGAATCGCCGGCCCCACTCATCAAAGAGTGCACTTCCAGCGCAGGTGAAGCGAATGGCGATGATCATTACAAGCTAGCAGAGCCAGCCGCAGCATCTACCCGCCAAGACGCATGTTGCTCTGCTCCCAAGCCTGAAGCAAAAGACGACTGCTGCAGCTCGGGTCGCTGTACCGGCAAAAAGGCCGTGGTGACTGCTCAGGACGATGAATGCCGCAATCCGACAGCCTCGGACGGCGAAGACACCTGCCCGGACAAATGGTGCCAGGCTGTAAAGCTTAATGGAGGTTCCGGCTGCCAAGATGCCTGCTGCGCGTCCGAGAACCAAGGTTCGGATGCCAACGATTCTTGTTGTGGGCCTATGACAGTCTCCGATGGATGCTGTGCGTCCAGAGATGAGAACTCTGAGGCAGGCCGCTGCAATTCTGTAGAGTCGAATGATACTTGCAAGGATAGTTGCTGCGATGCTGAAGAAGCCGCCGAGGAAAAAGACTACTGCGCTCCATTGGATGATCTCCGGCAGGATACCTGCAAAGATGCTTGCTGTTCTGCCACGTTGGATCCAGATGCTGCTGACCCGCCTTGCTGCGAAGGCAAACAAAACCCGTGCTGCGATAGTAAGTTCCTTGAGCCGTTCAGTCTAACCAGCAGAGACAAGCGACTAATATGGTTAAGCAACTTGCATCGACCGGCTTGTGCTTCGAGAGACTGCCTCGGAAGATGATACAACGACGGACTCTGCCCCCAGCAAGGAGAAGACCATTCGTGAAAGATACGAAACCAGACTGGCGGCCTTGGGATGTCTGTGTAGGGCGCTGCTCGCCCTGGGCCAGGAGTCCTGTTGCGCATCTGCCCAAGTTTCTTCCGTCGAAAGAAAACGCGGGCCTAAAAAAGGCCCCCGTTCGAGGTCTCGAGAGAAGCCCGCCACAACGTGCAGCAAGTCCACGATGACCGCAAGTTGTTGCTCGACGTCTCCGGCGCGCAAGCCCTCGGCCCCAGTTAGCAAACCTTGTAAGAAGGGCTGCTGCGGTGGAGCAAAAGAGAAACCTAGGCTTGCGCCGGCTGGCTGCTGTTCTGATAGTCAGGTCTCTAAGGGGAATTGCTGCCAGGATAAGAGCATGAAAATTGAGCATGTATTGGAGAAGGGCGGGAGTAACGACATTGAGACTGCCGATCTTGAAAAGGGGCTATCCGGCTCTGAGCGTGTCGTGCTGAGTATCTCGGGCATGACATGCACGGGTTGCGAGACCAAGCTTCAACAGACATTAAGTAAAGTCCAAGCTGTGAAGAATCTCAAGACGAGTCTTGTCATGGCCAGGGTCGAGTTCCAACTGGACCTCAGTTCAGCCACACCGGAGGACGTCATCAAACATATAGGAAGGACAACCGAGTTTAAGTGCGACAGGATTGCAACCCACGGTTCGACGATTGAAGTAATTCCTGCCGAGGGCCCCCGGCAGTTCATCAAGCAGCCCATGCCCTTGGGGGTAGAAAATGTCGACCTCATTGATGACCGAACTGTCCGAATCACATTTGAGCCAGACATAATCGGGGCGCGTGACCTTATTAACAAAGGCTTCCAGAGCCTTCTAACCCTAGCCCCCCCGCAGGCCGATCCGGCGCTTGCTGCCGGAAGTAAACATGTCCGACATATGGGTTGGATGACGTTGGCTTCAGCACTTCTGACGCTACCCGTCTTGGTTTTGGCTTGGGCTCCATTGGAAGAGCGCCCAATCACGTATGGTAGCCTGTCTCTGGCCCTGGCGACCGTCGTCCAGGTTTTTATTGCAGGCCCATTCTATCCGAAAGCCTTGAAGAGTCTGATATTTTCAAGGGTGGTCGAAATGGACCTGCTGATCGTCTTGAGTACCACTGCGGCGTATGTCTTTTCGGTTGTTTCATTCGGCTATCTGGCTAGTGGTCGACCCCTGTCGACGAGCAATTTCTTCGAAACGAGTACCTTGCTGGTCACCCTTATCATGGTCGGGCGATGGGTTAGTGCCCTTGCCCGCCAGAAGGCCGTGGAATCTATTTCTGTCCGAGCACGGCAGGCCCCCATAGCAATCATCGTCCCTCCTGATGGTACCGAGACCGAGATTGACGCTAGGCTACTCCAGC